TGATCTTTTAAAATTAAATATACTTAACAGAGAATATAATACGAAGTAGATCAATCTTTTAAGATATTTTAAGTAGGAATAAATAGAAATAAAACTCTACAGCTTAACTTTTAAAATATTCCTCTATCAATTAAACAAATTGTCTTTATTTAAAAATATTTTGCTCATTTTTTCAGTCATTAATTTTCTAGGTACATTTAACTGCACCCTGTATTTCACCTGGAAAAAGCTAAAAGTATATACATTTTTTTAAGAAAGAATAATTAACTTCCTTGAAAATAATTTCCCCTTCTTTCTAAAAAAAACACAATGAATGCTGAATACTAGTCTACAAAATAATGAAATTTAAAATGTAACAAGTATCTTTGTATTTCACCAAATAGTATATGGGTTTTATGACTATATTTTGTTAAAATTTTAGGATAACACATTTAAATTATAAGATATAGGTACATTATTTGCACATTGAAATTATGAGTGACAGATTAACCTTATATGAAAGATTTACACATGCCTTGGACAAGAAATATTAACAACATTAATAGCTACCATTTATTATGTGCCCACTAAGTCCCAGGCCTTATCCTAGGCCCTTTGCATATATCTTTTTTTTTTTTTTTTTTTTTTTTTTTTTTTTTGAGAGGGAGTCTCGCGCTGTCGCCCAGGCTGGAGTGCAGTGGCCGGATCTCAGCTCACTGCAAGCTCCGCCTCCCGGGTTCTCGCCATTCTCCTGCCTCAGCCTCCCAAGTAGTTGGGACTACAGGCGCCCGCCACCTCGCCCGGCTAGTTTTTTGTATTTTTTAGTAGAGACGGGGTTTCACTGTGTTAGCCAGGATGGTCTCGATCTCCTGACCTCGTGATCCGCCCACCTCGGCCTCCCAAAGTGCTGGGATTACAGGCTTGAGTCACCGCGCCCGGCCGCATATATCATTATTAATAGTCACAACATTCCTGCAAGGTATAGGTTATTTTTTCATTTTTACAGCTGGTGCAACTGTGATTCAGTCCAAGTAAGCACTTGCCTGAGGCCAAACAAGTGGAAGAACTGGAATTCAAACTCAAATCCCTATCAATTCTGTTTAGAAGCCTATGACTTTATTCATCTATGATAAATTATGTGTAAATATGTTTCCTATTTTTTCAAAATTCACTATCAATTAAAATGTTTCCAAAAGCGACATCTGACAACAAAGCAGCCACAGGCTTCATTAAGGTATTGAGGCATTTGGGAACCACGCTGCTGATATTAACAATCCTCAAAATTTAAACTTTGAAACTTCACCATTTGTAGTAGGATAATCATGTTTGTTGAGAAAGAAGTGATTTCACCTTCATTTTCAAACATCTGTTTAAGAGTGTCTTTTAGAAACAAGGTGTAGCTGAACCATGATAACTATTGTGTAATATAATACCCAGCCCAAACGAAGGTTGCACTTGTGCTTAATAATAATGTAAATTTTTGTTTTTGATTTTGTTTTTTGAAACAACACCTCACTCTGTCACCCAGGCTGGAGGGCAGTGGCCCAGTCTCGACTCACTGCAACCTCTGCTTCCTGGGTTCAAGAGATTCTTGTGCCTCAGCATCCTGAGTAGCTGGGATTACAGATGTGTGTCACCATGCCTGGCTACTTTTTGTGTGTTTTTTGCAGAGATGAGGTTTTGCCATGTTGGCAAAGTTGGTCTTGACTTCTGGCCTAAAGAAATTCGCCCATCTCGGCCTCCCAAAGTGCTGGGATTACAGGCATGAGTCACTGCATCCAGCCCAAAAATGTAAACTTTAGTTGAATGCTTACTGTTGGTAGCTAAGTGCTTCAAATGCATTATTTAACTTTTACAACATCCTTATGAGGAATCATCTTTTGATTTTAAAAGTAAATAAACTGAAGCACAAACACTATGAATCCATTTACCCACAGCCAAGCAGCTAATAAATAGGAAGGCTAATTTTAGACTTCAAATTTGCTCAGCTTCAAAGTCTAACATTCATAATGTCTACCTTGCTCTACGCACAGTGGTCTTTAGAAATGAACATCATTAAAATCTCTACACAAGGAAGGGGGTTTGGGCCTACTAGGACTGCATCAGTGGACTGAGCCTATTAAAAGGAGGGCTACAACCTTGTCCTGGCTTCTTACCCCATTTCAACTCAATAATTTATTTCTTCACTTGGAAAGTAAACCTAATGTATTAGGTAGTCTCTAAGATCCATTTAAGTAATACACTTTTTAAGATCCTGTTAGTGTCTTTCCTTTCTGTAATGGAACAGTGCCACTAAAAATATCTACAAGGGTTTGTTAAGGTTTTGCTATCATTTCTATCTCTTCCCATGGGCATTTTAGAGGTTAAGTGAACTATGTGTATTAGAAGTCATATATGTGTGACTGGAGTCACAGAGCGCCGGCTCCTGTCCCTGCTCTGCTAAGGCATGTGTAACCTTAGGGAAGTAGCACAAACTGTCTAAACTTCAGGTGTGGGTGGTTAGTTTTTTTTTTTAATCCATAACCTGAAAAAAATATTAGTATTTACCCCAAAGGACTGTGTGAGGCAGAAAATTAATGTCAAAGTGCTTGGCACAGAGTAAACTCAAGAGAACTTAGCAATGATTACTTTTTATTGTTATTGAATTATGAAACTGAGAGATGATGCTATGCAATTTATGTGAAATCACTTAAAATCACAAAAAGTTAATGAGGACAAAATATTCTCTGCTAATGCACTCTGATGAATTTAAAAATTATATTTATATGTATATGTGTGTATATCTCTCCATCTACATGTATAGATACATAGATATCTGGTGTTAGACACCCACTTAAAAATTCAATTTTGATATGTATTTTGGTTTCTTTTTTTCCTCAGTATTTTTAGATGGCATGGCTGACAAGACCAGCATCAGATATAGATAGAATGATAATATGCAAAAGCACACAGAATTCTCACATATATAAATGCCGTTATTTTAAGACATTTTGTGGAAACTACTAAAGTGGTGGGGATGGGACAATGATGCATCAACTGAATTAATCACTATCATCACTCTTCTAAAGAAAAAACAAAGCAAGTTCAGCACACTCAATCATCACAAACACGAGGAGAATGGAGTTGCATAAAACCAGGGCTGGGTCCCCTGTTCTCTGGTAGGCAATGTTAAAAATCTGCAGCCATTGTAGACTGCTCCACACTACCTAATTCTGAAATCTCTATTTATAAATACCAGAAAGGGAATTTTTTTGCCTACTTTTCAGCCATTTATTTATTTATTTATTTATTTGATTTCATTACAAAGAGAAAAAGGAACTGCTATAGGGCTGCAGAAAGTCCTGAAACCAGACATTTGAGCCTATCTATGAAGAATTCACCTGATGGAAAGAGTAAAAATGACATAGATCGTAAGTGTCAAAGACATGTCATTGAGAAAGGCAGCTTTCTTTTCACAAAAGCTGGCAATTCTAAGATGTGAGGTTGTCTGTCTCACCAAACCTCGGAAGTCAATGTAGGAGCAATTCCACATCATCTAGTTTTGTGCACATTTTTTCACAGATACAGTTGTTTGCCACTGATCCAAATGCATTTATCTCCCATGTACTGTTACTCAAGGATAACCCAGATACCAAGGATATCTTTATAAAAGACTATGAAAAACAAGCAATCGGCTCCATAGTGACTTGCTTCAGCAAGAATTGGTATGAAAGTGGTAACATAATCAGTTAACCTCAGCAGCTCATATATCCCCCTAACCACTCAATTACCTGCAGTATAATATTTCACCCTGTGATTTATTTAAAAATTTAGAAAAGTTAAAGAATAGGTGTATTGTGAATAGAAGGAAATATACTTGTAACCAATACAGCTGAGGAAATTTATAAGTAGATTAGGAATAAGTGGCTGATAGTGTGGATTTTTAAAAATTCAAAGTATTTTGCTCTTTATATATTTATATAACTTTGTATCTTTTCTCTCCATAGTATACTTTGCAAATACTATATAAAGATATATACTATATATAGATAAATATTGGGTTTGCCACTACAGACCACAAACAAACATAATACTGCAAAGATGAGATATGCTGAAGCAGTAACTGTTAGTAATTTTTCACAGGTATGTGTGAAAATAGAAAAAGAGAAATGACATAATGCAATTTAGTTCATTCATAGAGATTTAGGGATAAAGTACACTTATATGCTCAACACTCACAGTAAGATTGGGAAACAAATGAAGGGGTCTAAATATTAGAGGTGAGCCTACTATATTCTGTTTACCATCACATTTATAATACATATACTTTTATAATACCACGTGCATTTCTTATTCATGTATAATTTAGATCTGTATTACGTATGTGTATTTTATATATGCACATAATAAAAGTTTATTCCAGCATATAAGAATGAGCAAAAACAAAGGCAAATAAGCAGTTTCTAAACAAATATTATCATCAAAATGTACTGCATATGTAGTGTCTAGAGAGTATGACTCCAATTATAGATATCAGAGATAGCAACAGTCTTCTGTTTATACTATGTGAAACAGCAGAGAGATGATCACTTAGCTTTTGTTTTGGTTCCAAATCATTTTTTTTCAAGAAGTGTAATTAAAAAGTGCATTAATGCCACCAATTATGGCCTCCAAGGGACCAGAAACCCCATGTTACTCCGTGATGGAACACAACGGAGCTGCAAACATCCATTTACCATTATAATGCTCATTAATCCTGCCAAAAACAACTCATTATGGGACTTCAAGGAAATCATCTCATAGGCAAACACAGCACAAAATCTGTCATTGCATTCCTCCCAGTAAAGTTGCAGAGGTGGAAACTCTTCAATGTGTCTAATTTATGAAGCTGAAAACAATAATTTCACTTTTTATCAAGCTAAGACGTCTATGTGAAAGAACTGGCCTAAATTCTCTCACTCTTTTAGCAGTCTTAATAAAGAAATAGCATTGACTCAATAACTCAGTAATCTAAGCCTGCAAAACCTCACTTACCTACTTACCAAATTCTTCCAGAACCCAGTCTCATTTCATTGGACATCAGCACCATCAGGAGTTTTTCTCTCAAAGTAGTAACAAAAATATCGCCACATCCATTGTCATCTTTCTGGTTTGACCTAAAATTAAATGTAAATCCTCTCTCATTCATTAAAACGTTTATAAACTTTCTCATTCTTTAATCAATTGAACATATTGAAAAATGTCTGATTCTTTTTCAAACCTCAGCTCCAAAGAGGTGCTATACCCAGTAGGAGCTCTCTGAATGCTTGTTGGTGATTTCACTGTTACAGGAAAGTAGCCCTAAAGCACCCTACAGAAAATAAAATGTAGAATTCTCAATTATCACTATTAGATAAGCAATGATTGCAAAGAATTATTATTATCAAGGAGGTTTATTTTAAATACATTATCAATTTTTATGTTTTAAGACTAAAAACAAACCATGTATTCTGTCTTGGCAATACAGTATTTCTTCCGATGCTACAGGAGTCTTTGCCTGAGCAGAAATGATCTACTTAAGATGTTTAAAGGAGTTTTAGAAAAAAGCTTAATTACCAACCAATAAGCTAAATTAAAAATAATTTTCTTCTCTTTAATATTTTTTACAGTGTTTAAAAGAAATTACGAGAAGAAAATTTGTAAGAACATTTTTCTTCAGTGACTATATATTTCCTCTCATGAAATTACTGGAAAGTAAAAAGTACAGGATAATATACAGTACCTGAAATCTAATAATTGGCCATCCTCTATCACAATTGCTCTCCAGGAATTTCAACTAATCTTATATTTATATTTTGAAAAGATCATTTCATGGAGTTCTAATGTAATCAGTAGCAAAATTAGTTGAGATGGTTTGAATCAAAAGGGAAAAGAGGCCTAACATGACTTTCTCTACTGAAAGTAGATAGTTGGGGTAAAAGGTGAAGGAAAATATACAATTTATGCAGTGATGAAATAAAATATATTTCCTTATTGTTTCTTTTCAGTTTTCAGGGTTGGGAATTACATCTTGAGAATAGGTACAAAGCAGGTGCTACATGCTCTCACAGAACACAGAGTTATTTATGCAATTGCCAATCTTTTAGACTGTATAAGTCTACTTCTAGATGATAAGTCCTGGGAAAATTCTGTCTTTTTCACTACTGAATCATTAGCTTTTAGCATCATGTGGAAGATAATCTCTCAGTATCTAGGGAATGAACAAATCATTGAATATTACCAGGATAATAACCTGAAACATGCAAATATACACTTTGTGTCATTGCTGTATGTCTTTTTGTTTACCCCATCCTAAAAAGGTAGATCAGCTTCATATTCTATGTCCTGAACTATTAATGCTTTCTTTGAGAAAGTGCGTATGTTAAGAGCAAAAGCAAAGGTTTTCAAAACTAGGGGAAAAGAAAAAAAAAACACAACCTGGTTTCTGTTGATGGAAGAAAGTGTCCTGACCAAGAGAAGTAGGAGTAAGACAACTGGAAAATAAATTAATGTCTTAGGCTTCTCAGCTTTTGGAACCTCGTTTTACTCTCTGAATCTAGAGTCCTGGATGAGGTCTTATTCTGGAAGGTTTAAACCTTTAGAAGCTGGAAGGCTTGCTGAGAGCTGGAGAGGAGCAGATCCCTCTGGAGAGGAGCTAGACTGAGTGGGATACATGAGATGTTGGAAGAGCATTTCTGAATCTGCCAAGAGCTGATTGCCCTACTAGGGCAAGCAAAGAAAGGAAAAGAAGAAAATCTTGGCTTAGATTATAGCCCACCCATTACACAGTATATTCAACCTCAAATAAGACAAGGATCTCTTCATGATCCCACTTTGGGCCAGGACACCAAGAACTCAAATAGATTAATTATGATGTTCAAAAGAGGAATATAAAATTTCTTGTACTCTAATTTGTTGGACCAAAATTTATACTCGAACAGGACGAATGCCAAAAATTCACACTCCTATTTCTCCTTGCGGGTAGAATTTCAATATGGATCTTGCTTTATCAGACTAAAATTTGATTCAGTTGGAAACTAAAGTGAAGGCTGGCTAGTACTTCCATTTCCTTCCTCAGACTACCAGTAAATTAGTAGCTGTTTCTTTGATCACATCCTTGATTCCAGGAAGGGATAAAGTTAGATAGGAGGGCATTTTTCTTGTATGGTGTTTGAACCATAAGGAACAATGAATAGAAAATCCTCAATACTGTACCAGTTATATATTGGGTACTAAATCTTGAATAGGTATATGTGAGGTTAAATATGGAAAATATTTCCACAAAATTGGTATTTTGAGGTTATGAAAAATGAAATGGCTTCATATTTAACAAGCAAATGGAAGTGGGTCATGTTTGGATAGGTACCATATATTTACATTCTGGGACTTACTCTTTGGAACTTATAAGTGGACTTTTCTTAGGCAATTTTCTGTGAAACAAATTTTAAAATGTTTCTGACCTACCAAATTTTAAATGTCCTTGTATCTATTAAATTGTTATTTATGCAAGGAAGCTTTCTTTATTGTTTGTGGCTATGTATACTCAATTCCAAAACAAGTTAAATATGAATAATAATAAATAAAAAGAATCCTTTGTCTGCTGCATTTTACATGTTTCAAAAAGCTAATGTGCAGAAGGAAACTCATTTGCAATTTGAAAGTGGGCATTCTTTTGGATTAGAACAATCAGTTCATGAGAAGTGTTCGAAGTACCAAGTACTATGTGTTTCCTAGGGTACACAGTATGGAATTTCCAAATTTCTCTGAGGTGTGCAATCAATACTGTCACAAATGCCACCTCATTTCTGGATGGCCCAGGTAGAAATCTCTATCACTTCCAAAGATTTTAAAAATAATATTCAGCACTTTGTCATTATCAAAAGGAAATGTCACCCTCAAGGTGTTGTAAGAGAATGCAAAAATTTGCGTTTATTAATATAGCCTAATGTGGTTTTCTTTTGGATAAGTGTTCCAGAAATGAAATCAATAACTTCAACGATGTAAATAACATATATGATAAATTCTCCATCAGCACATGCATGTGCGCGCGCACACACACACACACGGTAGTGAAACATACCAGAAGGGAAGGAAGAAAAATTTACCACATCTTTAAACAACAAGAGCAAAAAGATCTGGCTGAGAACTTGTCTCCTAAAGTCCTGGAGAGACCAGTCATGCCACATGATCTCTTGTTAATTAAAAAAATCATGTGGTAAATGCACAAACATTACAGAAAACTTTCAGGGTTTGTTGTTTCATTGATAACCGTTATTACCAAGGCCAAGTTAAGACTAATGTACACTTTTATTTTAGAAAATAATTGCTAGGCCATTCCTGTTCTTCTGTTAGCTAATTCAAAAAGTAGTCTCCCATTCCCATTTCTCCTGCGTACCCTCACTACAGGTTTCATCATCATCATTAAAGCAACCTCAAAATAGATCAATAATCATCAGTATTGCTGCAAAATGTATTCAATAACAGGTTGAAAAGTATTGATGAAATATTTGCTGAATATCCTGCCTAAATATTTGGTCTTCCTTTGATAACGGTGTATTGAGTTTACCTGAGTTGACATACAGGATAACACTTTTCACAATTTTATTCCATATGCATCCAGGACTTGTCTTCATTTGACTTGACTCAGGTTCCTTCTGACCACTTTTCTAATTTCACACAACCCATTTTCCCAGGTGCTGATTTCTCTTCCACCCTGGGACAATCAACTGCATTATGTTTATAACACAAATATCCCTGGCTGACATATATCTCAATAATATATTTCAAATACCTGTGGAATATTATTTCTAGTGACATTAACTAGCTGACTTTCAGTTTTCAAAGATTTAATGCTACGGGTTACAAAAATGATATTTTATTGCCTGATATTTGATTCCATTGTTTTCACTCACCTATCAGCTTAATAACAGGACAATCTCTAACTCACCTCTGTAAGTCAGATGGAATCAGTTACCCTTAAAATTTAGACCTCAAAATTGTTCATGAAAAAAAAATAATTGTGGAAGAAAGGTTGTAAAATTTTTAATTATTTTACTACAAAAGTTTATCTTATTAAAAAAATAATGAAAACTATCATATGCTTCTTCTGAAATGGTTCAGAACATCATACAAAATATTATAACTTGGGGTAATCCTATAGTATGGAAGGTTTTGTCACTATCTTAGAGAAAATGAGAGACATAGTTTCAAAATCCAAAGGTACCCTAGCTGTAGACTTTGGCCTTGGCTTAACAGGTTTTATGATGTAAAAGGCATGAGGTGTACCATAAGACAATGTTCAAACAACTGAAGGCAATAAATAAGTGACACAAATTAGAAATTTATGAAATTCCAGTCAAGAGACACCCACCAAACCAATCTTTGGACAGAAGTTACAGAAAATAGCTATAGATGTTTTCTAAATTCTGAAAAGCTTAAATATTTAGTAATTCAAATGCTTTATCAAGAAACTAAGAATTTTAAGTAATTTTCAAACTTTATGAAATGAATTTTCATAATGAATGATTCACTACCCTGAATCTTTTGTGTTTCTTTTGGTCATGTGTGTCAGGCACTTGTTAGAGGCTCGGCAATGCTGGATACATTGAACTGAACTCTAATGATGAGATACAATTTATTAAATATAGCAGGAGGCAGAATAGCACTTAGGCAAGAGTAGACATCTTGAAGTTTTGAGTATTGGCTTTCCACTATTTAGCTGTCTAACCTTCAGGAAATTGCTTAACCTCTTTAGGTATCAGTGAATTTATCTGTTAAATGTCAACAATTACACTTTATTAAGTGAAGGATTCAGCGCATTAATTATATACATATCTTACACATAGTAAGAGCTCAGTATTACCTTGTATCATTTAGTGTGTTTACAAAGAATAAAAATATATAGATTCATAATAGATAGGAAATAATGCAGGAATGCAAACATGTTGCCATAATAAATAAAATACAGCTTTAAAAAATTTTATTTCAGCATTTATATTTTGAAGTTTTACTTTTATTTTCTAACATAGCCATAATACGGTTTCAATCAACCACAAAAACGCTTATTTTTTCACATGTATACAGAAGTAATGGCACATATTTTATAAAGATGTTTATAATGTATCAAAAAAATAATAAT